ACTGCAATATATATGTTTTGTTGTAAGAACTTAAGAATGAAGGTAACTGCAGAAGGCCTATTGGCCTATACGAGGCAGCTCCTATTTATATTTACCCAATCTCATTCATATATATGTCTAACCTACTGTTAGGTCTTAAGGGGCCCAGTGTCTGTATTACAGTTATCCCTAACGTATCCCTATATTTTGTTTTTTGGGGGGTTATTTTTCTTGACGTCCTTTTAACACATATTGATCTACAACTTTCACATATTCGAATACGAATGCCAAGCAATGTTTCTTAAAACATACAAGAAAATTCATTAATTAGAACTACCCATAATTATTGTCAATAACTTCAACTTCAATTATCTCTAAAACTGGAATTTCAACCTTGAGACCTAACTAAAAATTCAATTGCTAACCGATTCTCACCATTTTTACATATTTGCAAAGTTCTTAGTTCTAACATTTCCTTTGAATTGTTTAGTCATAAAGCCATAATGTTTGGAGCTACAGTATAAATATTTTGCGTATAAATTTGGCACATATTTGGATGGCCACATTCAAAAAAATAATGTTTTACAGTAAACTATACTCTTAAACAAAAATTGGTCCAAAGTAAAATGAACGTTATATGCCATTCTGAGACCATAGTGAATAAAATAACAATTGGTGACACTAAGATATTTTTAGCAATTTGAAGTTGTGATTTTTTTTTAACTTAGTTTTCTTTTCACAGTATGATGTTGATCCATTAGGAAAAGTTGGAGCATTTACCATGAGGATTATGCACAAAAAAATTGAGTGTGTTGAGGAAGTTTCGGTGCACATGCACCGGGCCCCTTAAACACTGTTGGGAGGAAGAACCAAGACTGTAGCCACCACAGTCAAAAAAAACTACCACTTGGCAGGGAGCCGGTCGGCCGAGCGGACAGCACGCGGGACTTGTGATCCTGTGGTCCTGGGTTCGAGGAAGAACCAAGACTGTAGCCACCACTCAGCATTCCATGCTTGAACTGCCTCCACCAACATGTGTACCAGCCATCAGCTGCATCTGTGACAAAGTCCAGTTGCCAGCAACCACTGCCTATCTGCTGCATCAAGTGATGTACTTATCAATTTGTATACTTCACACTCCACTTAGCATGGTTACTTAAGTGTGTGCGCCTACTTACTGCCATGTATGTGATCTGCATTGATACCACGTGTGGTCATTGTAGAATTAACATGACTTTCGAGAGATGGATTGCTAGTCTCTAGTGCACATCATACCAAAGGACAGACGAGTGTAAAGATCAACTGTTCAGATCTTCTACGTGCTGTTTATAGGAGTTGATGGTATGAGTGTGTTGAGGGCCGACTTAATATATTTAGTATTATTATGTTATTGTCTATCTGTGTTACATATCCCCATGATCAGCCACCTGCAAGCGAGTTCCTCATTTGCTCACACGTAACAGGTGTAGGTGTGAGTAAGACAGATCCAACTGTTATCACACAATTATCTGTGTGATGTCACAAGTGTTGTACTTGTCAGTCTGTGTACCTTACACATGACAGTTTAGAACTCCTGTGTTTCACTTTACAAACCGGCTGTGTCAGGAAAGCTGAACTGGTTGTCGAAGAAAGTGTCAAGGACACACAAGTTTCCACAAGTGGACCACATGATTGATCAGTTAGGCATCCCAATGTCTATCTGATGTGATATTAGCTTGTCAACACCAATTTAAAGTAAAATATGCACCCCAATGTATTTGCATTTAAGTTTTGTGAACAAATGTTGTTTAGTTTGACACTGAATGTACATAAGACTTTCTTTAAAAAACTACCACTTGCACTGTACCTTCAGCCTTGTACTTTTTCTTATTTGTTTTATTTTATTTATATATACAAGAGTTCTTACATTCTTGTAAAGCCACTAGCATGAATAGCATTTCGGTCAGGTCCTTAATCCTAATTTTCCCCAGAATACGACCCACCAAATCGTTTAACAACCAGGTACTTATTCACTGCTGGGCAAACAGAGGCTACAGTTAAGGATAAGTGCCCATTCAATCCTCCCTGGCCAGGATACGAACCTAGGCTAAAGCACTCACGAGGTGCTGGGTAAGTGCTTTACCACTGCACCATGGGGACTGTCCTCACTCCAGTGTCTTCAACACCATTAAGCAGTGATTCACTAATAATAAATTACTGATGAGAACTCACTGAGATGTCCTTCAGAGTGCCCCTTTTGCATTGAAGTTTACTTTCACGCCTACCACGAACCAAGACCTGGTGAAGCCAGTCGATAAGGGCCACTTCACAGAGGACCCATACCTCACTAGCATACCCAGGACCTGTATGCAGTGTTTTCATAGTTGTTAGATTCCAATTAGCTTTTATTGAGCCAACAGCCATATGCAGATTGATGGCATTGCATGCAATTACAGTTAGAAAAAACTAAATTTCTACACCAGCCTGCTTCTCAAGTTAATATTTAAACTTTTTGTGAGGAATGATGAAAACTTTCTGACAATTACAGATGCAGATAGCCTTCTTTCTCCTACTTAATTGCTATTATCGTTGTAAAATGTTAATAAAATGGTCAAATTTCTTTCAGTATAATATGGAATAAATGCACCAATACTAGTTTTGAGAAAATACCAGATTAAATACAGTATAAAGAATGTAAAAAAGCAACACAAATTATCACCCCTAAATTAGAATATCACCTGATGAAATAACATTAGTTCTAAATAAAAATATAGCAGCATTTGAAAACATTCTTGTTTCATAGCAAAACAGATATCCACATGAAACCAGTAAACATAAATGGTGGGACAATTTAATAAAATCTTGCCTAACAAAAAAAATCCAATACAAAGACTAAAACTGAACACTAATCATCAGAATAAGCCGGAATATGTTTTGTCACAGTGAAAAAACAAAAATCTAACACATCTTTGCAAATGTAACTACTACAAGACAAACATTGTTGAAAACTAAAACCCAAAGTATGGTGGTTTTAGTTATATTAGAAAAATTTACGTTCTCTCCCATTCTACAGGTTCTACAAAATCAGAAAATGGGGACTTAGTTTATGAAGAGGCAGATATAGCAAATTGTTTTTGGCATCTGTATTTACCATAGAGAACTTAAATAATACGGTGGAACTGCGGTTTTCGTATGCCCCTGTTTTCGTATTTTTTGGTTCTCATACTCAACTTCTTCTAAAAATTTGATTTGGTACTCGTTGTTTGCCTTTTTTTCAGAATTTGTTTATACACAGGTCCACAGAGTGTGGTGCTTCAGTTTATCAGTGTCCCCCGTCTAGTGATGATCATGTTTGAATTCTTTAAAGAATTTCATTTTTTTGTGCTTTTTGGTTTCTGAACATAAAAGTTCTTATTATATATTACACCATGGGTTACAAGAAAGTCAGTGGTAATGTTCAACCTAAGAAAATAGTTGTGAGGATGATGATAGAGGAAAAACAAGAGATCATTCATAGTGAGAATGTGATATCTCACTACAGACAAGTGTTAAAACAGGGAAAAACCAAGTGTCTATAGACAGATTCTTAGTAGACAAGCAAGCAGTGAGCCACAACCAGGTCCTAGTGGTATGCCTGCAAAATGTAAGAGAGTACCCCAGAAATGTAATGTCATCATTGTTGTTATAATGGAAGGGAACTCCTCTTCCAAACACTAACACTTTTCTTTCTCCTCCCCCCTTCCTCGTTATCTTCCATATGCCAACAAGAGTCCTCAATAAAGGTAAGATACCTAAGAGTATTATTCTGTATAAAATTTATTTTTTAGTCAGTATATTTGGGGGTGTGGAACAGATTAATTCAATTTACATTACAGTATTTCTTATGGGAAAAGTCGTTTCAGTTTTCACACAGTTACTGGGAACGTATTAAATACGAAAACTGAGGTACCACTGTATTCCTTTTCCAATACCTCTTGCTAGGAATTATGTAAGACTGCCTTCAAATTACAGGAGTGTATCACCATTTATGAGTTAACTATGCTTACAGTGTCAAATAAAGACAGTGAACAGACTGTTGATGCACATGTTTAAAAACCACAAGGCTGGCATATCAAGGTTACAACTTAATGAGCTAAACAAATTTTGTTGTTCAATTCCTAAGCCTAATGTGCACTAAAACAGAAAGCTCATAGGCAAAAGGTTCCATGTTAAATTCAAGTGATAAGAAAGAAGTGCTTTGGTAACATTTGCTTTCACCTGAATTCTTTGTTCACTAGTAGCTCAGAGTTAGAGAACTGTTGAGAGTTGCACCCTGGGAAAGGTCAGTAGATGGCCTATGGGTATCTTATGTAAGCCTTTTAAGTTTTTTACCCTTGACTTTGAGAAACCATTTATCACTATTTTAAGTGACAAAAGTTTTTAATTTTTTAACTGTGTTAACTTTCTTCTTACAGGTACTACAAAATCTGAATTTATACAGTACAGTACCTCAAAAACAAGTTATAATTATTAATACTCTGTTCAAGACTGACTGTTCACCTAGTATATAATTTGCAAATCACTGCAAATTCTAAATTTATATCAACTATTTTGTTAGCTTTAAAATTTGCCTGAAACACTATGCATGTCTGTGGCTTTGCTAGAATTATTTCACCAAATCATCAAAGCTTGTCAACTATAATCCACTCTACTTTTCTATTAACTAAAAAATAAAACATTATATAAAAACATGCTTATATAGTATAAAAATATTTTTTCAACTGTTGTACCAAATACCATGCCTGCCTAGGTTAAGATTGAGCACGTCAGTATGTATATATGAATATGTATGACAAATTTGTGACCTTCTGTGACAAATTCCTCCCAACCTTCTTGAAGGTTGGGAAGAATTCCAGTTACTTCCGCTACCGTCCGTAGGCTGACAAGTGACTGTGTGAGACGGAATGCACCAAACGTAGCACATAGTATTCCAAAATCTACTTTTTCCGTCTTCGATTATAAAACAATATATTGCTAAATACATTAATAAAAAATATTCATACCTAAGGTTTCCCCTGTTGTTTTGAACATACCTTGAAACGAAGAAAATGATATTGTCGTTCCTCCAGTTTAACTGTCACGACAGATTTGGACCTCTGTAAACCTTGCACTTCAGTTTTCTTGATAACACCTCTGTCTTTCGGGGGTATAAAATGAATGATTTTAAGGGAGTGAGAGACGACCAGCCGTGTTGCTGTGCCACAAGTGTAAACAAAGAGCCACTGTTGCCACCTCCCAGCAACCCTCACTAAACCTTTGCTAGTTTGCTAACAAAGTCCAACAATTTATACCCGCGTTATATACTCCAAATGTTACTCTTACTTCTCTTACGTACTTTAACATGCAATTTCATTGTAAGGCATTTCATTTCATTATATTTTTTTTCTAATACAGGTTAAAAAATAAGAGAGATAAATGAAAACCGCAACTTAGCAAAAGCTGCTGTATTGTGAATTAAATTCTATGCATCGTATTTTTCGTTTATATTATCGTATAAGACTGTATCTTAAAAATAAGTATTAAATGGTCTAAATAATACCATGAAGTATATTTATTGGGAAAGTTGCAGAAATGTTTATATTATATATATAGAGAGAGACACTTGGTGCCTGGGGTAAAAGTGCTACTAGTTTTAGTAAGGAGTTCTAAGTTAGTTGAAACAACTAGAGACCCTAGAACCGCCAATTTCCTCTTTCAGCGCCTTAGTATGGCAATCCAGAGAGGAAATGCACAATGCATCCATGGTTCCTGCCCGCCATCTGTGGAGCTGGAGGAACTCGACAACCTGTGACAAGTAGCCTTTTACCTTGCATGTAACCAGTGTTGTAACCCTTTTGTTTAATGAAGTTTTAAATAAAATAAAATGATAAAATACAAAAAAAATATAGGGGGTGGTAGGAGAAGTCAATATATCAGGGTAAGCGGGTGCCTCACAAGGCTCTCCCAGATGCTGCATTTCGACTTCTTCGAGGTCAAGGGTCCTTACAACGCAACCAGAGGTGGAACCCCCCCCCCCCCTATATATAAATTAAATTAAGAAAGCTAGTGTTAGCCAGCTATCGCTCAGTTACATTCTAACATCCTCAAGGCCAAGACAGAACATCCAGCATACTGCTCAGCCACCATAAGAACACAGGAATTAAAGAGTTCATTTACGGGCTATTCATGCCCGTGCTACCTCTTGAGTGGCTTAATCTTCATCAATCAATCATCATAGAGACCATAATAAAACTGTAACGTGAACTTTGGAGAGTGAATTTTTCAGCTTCTTCTCAAGTGAAGAACTTATGAAATAGAGAAGATTCGCGTTAGAATAATTGATCTCACCCTTTCTGTCATATTTAAATAACTTTATTAACGTCGAATTAACGTTGATTCAGCGTTGAATTAACGTAACTCTTGGATATTGTGCCCAACGGACAGCGGACACAATAGCCACTTTATTGTGCATAACAATACGATGGAAAAAGAAGCTGGGGTAAAAAAAAACAACCATGATGAACCATAGGGATAACCAAAAGGACCTTTGACGTCAAGGGGAAGAAAGTGGTTATATATCAAGCACAAGTCTATGGTGCGCCTCATCTAGATTAGTGTATCCAAGCAGGGAGACCTAACCTTCAAAAGGGCATATCTGCTTAATGAAATGTTCAATAGAGAGCGACAAAAAATCACAGAACTAAGTCACTTCTCATACCAGGAAAGGTTGAGAGCAACTACAAATTAGACCGACAAGGCTGATCACATTGAGACCTTCATATCACTGGATATTTTGAAAGTTAATAATTTGTCAATTTATAAATGAAAGTGACTGGAAAAGATAATCCAGACCACTTTAAACGGTCCAATGTGACCGTTTATGTGACAATGTGACAATGGGGTAAATTACATCAGTCATATCAATAACTGTTTTCATAAGTGGTTGCGCATTTATTTAATTTAGTTAGTTTACATAAAATTTTAGCATATTATTTACATATGTAAAAGTTATAATTATAGCATAACAATAACTGTAATTAAAAGTTATAATTATAGCATAACAATAACTGTAATTATATACCGCATTTAAATTTTAAATAATTTGTGAGTAATTTTGTTGTATTAACAGGCTTAGGTATATTCAGCAATATGCTGCTGCTCTATTCTGTATGAAATAATAATAATAATAATAATAATAATACTGTACAACTACTACTACTACTACTACTACTACTACTACTACTAATAATAATAATAATAATAATAATAATAATAATAATAATAATATAATAATAATAATGTTTATTCAGGTAAAATTACATACATTCAAAATGAGTTACAAACAAAATGTTGGATTTCTAGATAGAGCTAGTACATACTATGCCTAAAACCACTAATACGCGCAGCGTTTCGGGCATTACAGTGTAAAGCAAAGACAAGTTATAACTTCATCTAATATCCCCATCTCACAGGATGGTTAGTCATACATGGAATCGGGAGAGAACATGAAATGCGAGGCTGAACTATTAGTCTCCACCAGCAAACTCTGGGTACAGCACAAGAATATTTTCCAGTATAAGTGAGTGTATGAAGCATGAAAACACGAGTATAAAGATTTATGATAAGTTTAGAACCGGGCAGTACGCACATCCGCTAGGCAGTGTGACTTTGCTAAAATTAGGGTACGATATCGAAATCTATGGCAGGTTTATACAGGTAGAATTTACCTGAATTTACCTGAGGGCCACTAACACTAGTGGCCTCGACAAGGACAGGAAACCGGGGCTTGTCGAAGGTCCCCCCACTTGTCTTGATGATCTAAAAGTTGGATTTTAAAATGTAACAGTATTTAGTATAATGAATCCTCAATGGTGAACATTCCCATTGTAAAGCATGTGACAATGAGCTAGGACACACTCTCCAACACTATATTTATGATTGCCCTGTTATCAGTGATTTCAGACCCAAAGGTATGAAGTACTTAATACCTTTAAAGTACAAAGGTATTAAGCTCTGTAGCTAATTCATACCGTCAGTCACATGGCTGGAATAAGCAGGTAAGTTCGTATAGCAATTACTGTTGATTTCGGGGCTATACACAGCACTGTGCTGCTGTCCCCTTGGAAGCCGTTATAATGAAATAAGCCCTTAGGTAAATTCAGGTGACAGCGAGTAAGACGGAGCTCAGGAGTTTTTCTCTTGACCTTGTAAAGCTGTAAGCCCATGGATGTGAGGACATATTATTATTAACATCTTTATTACTCAGGCACACAGTATCATATGAAGAATAATTAAACCACTATGAAAATAGTAATTATTGTACATCTCTCAGTAAAGGTAGCGAGTAGCGCTTGATAAGCCATTCTTCTCTGTTCCCGATACGCTTTGAGATCTAGTCTATGATTGGCCATCTGCTCTCGTTTCACCAATCGTAGGGGGTTTATTAAACCTATTCCTGTTATAAAATAATTTCTTAGTGGTTATTTCTGATGCTGTCTACCAATTGAAAAAGAGCTACCAAAACAACTAGCAATTTTCTTTATTTTGCCAGTTCTCTGTCAGTTTAACAGTGAGGAAGGTGAGGGGAGGTTGTGTTAGTGTTCTGTGAAGCTTTTGGTAGTGAATAACCGATTTTAATCACAGGTGAGTTGGGGTTTTATGTTTATATATCGTGTTATCATATTTTTTAACCAAACAGTGTGTGTCAGGTACTGTATGAATGGTGTGTTTGTGGGTTTGCAAGACAAAATAAGTAAGCAAGTCTCACATAGGCTCATGGAATTGCTTGGTTGTTGTTGTACGTTGGATAATTGCCTTTTAAATTTCATGGCCTTTGTTTTTGTAAAGCAGGTTGTACAAATTTTCCAGGTATTACTGTAATGTTCACTAGTAAATCATTAAAATGACATTGTGGTAAAGCAAGATGTTCAGAACCTTTTCATATTTTGTTTATAAAATTTTACTGTTAGTCTACAAGACTAGGCTTAGTGTAGTATACTCAAGTTGAACCTTATTACATAAGCCAAATAGATTTGTGACGGTTTACAAGTGTAACTTCCTGTTCATTAGGGAAAGTGCTTAACCAGTATGACTACATTATACCTGAATTTACCCGAGAGCCACTAACACAAGTGGCCTCGACGAGGACAGGAAGCCGGCGGCTTGTCATAGGTCCCTCCCCCCCCCCATTTGCCTTCATCTTTTCCAGTTGTACTATAAAAGTTGAGTTTTAGCAATTACGGTATCGGCGGGTAGGCGGTTCCATCGGTATATAACCCTGTGGGTGAAAAAGCATCTGTTTTCAGTCCTACATTGTTGCTTGTATAGTTAGCCATTTATACAGTCCTACTGTGTAACATTTGTTTGGTAAAAGTTTAATATAATAATAATTAGATCTTTAATACACACAAATCACAATGTGATATATCAAATGAACAAATCCACAAGGGCCATGATGAACTATGTTGTCTTCAAGGGCCTTCTTTTGACCATGTCGTGGTACAGTTGACTAAGGCGCATCTGGGAACATCCCGTGCGTAGACTCAAACCCTCATCACGACCCCAGTGGATTTGTTCAACAGATCTTTAGTTAAGTAAATGGTTAATTGTTATCTTTAATCAGATAATGATTAAATAAAAATATAAAAATAAATGGGTTGCAGTCCCTGTGGTGCAGTGGTAAAGCACACCCCTGGTGCTTCACGAGTACTTTGGCCTAGGTTCGTATCCAGGCTGGGGAGGATTAACTTATCTGGGCCATACCTATAGAGGGTTTCGGGAGTTCTTCTACTTCCCGAGCCCATCCTGGGACCAGGATTGACTAGGTGCCAATCGTTAACTTTAGCTTCTCTTCTCACCCAGCAGTAAATGGGCACCTGGTTATTAAACGATTTGGCTGCTCATATTCTGAGGAAAAACAGGATTAAGGACCTGCCTGAAATGCTGTGTGCTATTAGATTTAAAAGAATGTTAGAACTCTTGTGTGTGTATATATCTATAAAAAAATTCTCTGGCTGTTTCATTTATAAATTTTTTTGAAGCTGTATGTTTTGATTTTTTTTTATGTATTGACACTGCACAGTGTATGCCCAAAATTTAATTGTTAGGCTGGGGTTTGAGTTATTGTAACCACTGGTGTTGCCAGCTATTAATTCTACTTCTTTCAAGCAATACTGAACATATCTAGATATGCTTTCTAGACAGTGGACATACAGGATAGTGAATAACAATCTTAGCTAAATTTTTAGTAGTGCTTATTGTAACAAAAGGATACAAAACATGTTACAACTTGTGAAATGTATAGTTCCTGTACACCGAACATTTTGTTCATCATGGTTCATATTTGCTTGATGGCTATGTCATCATATAGGCTCATCCTACTGACTGTTGGTAGCATTTAGCCCTACTTGGTTAGGTTAGGTTATTTTAGTTTGGGTTACTGGGTATGGTCAACTTGTCACAATTAAGACATACAATTTCACAAGTATAATTTATACTACAGGTATCAACTTAAAATGTAGTTATTATGTTGAACTCAAATTCTGCTACAATGTACCCATATTGCATTTATCAGTTATTTGAAGGACCTGCCTGAAAATACTATGCTTTGCAAGAATGTGATGCTCAAACACCAATGTAAGCTAGATCAGCATTTAGCCTAATCGTGCATTTTAGTAAACTGTCACACATTAATTATTACTTGTGCATATAAAAGTTAAATACCCTACTGATGTCTTGGTCTCTGAAAATATCAGAATATTTGGTGCTGATTTAAGGTTCATCAAATGTTGAGCTTTAGGCTTTGATCAAAGTAATGGGACCTGTTGACCAAACCACACACACTAGATGATGAAAAGACATTTGGTCTGTCCTGGACCATTATCAAGTCATACTTGATAATGGGAACTGGTTAGATTATTCAGCACCGTGTGTGTGTGTGTGACACTACTGTTTACATTGCCCAGGGAGTACCATGGAAAGGTAGAGGACCAGGATCAGGATTTTTCAGGATCTGCCTGAAAAAAACATTTTTACCTTGTATGTATTAATAAGGTTGAAAAGGTTGAAGTGCAGTGATAAGTCTACTGCACTGCACCATGTTAGTTTTTTGCACAATTATCATTGTACAGCCCATCCTCCTTTTTGGTAGTACTGTACTTGGAACGAAGAGGGACCATAGTACTGTACATATACTGACGTACAATGCAATTAGAAAGCAGAAATCGGTTCTATTGAATTTGGACAAACCCGAAAACGATTTTCAACTTGTGTTGCAAAGACAAACTAGCCAAACCTAACCTTCCTCAGCCTTATACATGCTATCTGAGGCCTAATATGGTACATGTGTGTGCTATACAAGGCCTTGGAATATTTTAAGTTTTTCAGCTTATTTTTTTACTCTTATAAAGTGAATAGTACAAAATTCTGCTATCTAATTGCTTAGTACATCAATGTTTGTACTATGGTACACAGTTACAAAAAGTACTATCTAAACAGGAGAATGGGTTGCATTGTACTAGCCACTAGGTCCACTATACAGCATAAGGAAATAGCACTACCTAGCCTGATATATAGTTTGATTTTGTTAGAATATGTAAATTTCAAATAATATTGTTGATGGCAGAAAGATAAACATTAAATACTGTAAATTATCAATACAGTACAGAATTTTTCTTGACCTTTAGAACTAACAAGTTTACTGTATAGAGTTTACACTTGTCTTCATATTGACAGTGTTTATGTAGAACATTCAGTTCTGATTGGTCTGTGTTCAGGATATTCAATTCTTTAAGAATTTGGCTTTCAACAGTATCTTTTCATCTATAATTACCATGAAATATTCCTCTGAAAGGACATTTATGCATAGGTTTAACTTGTGCATTCAGTATTACCCGAGACAGTTGCTTTGTAATTAAGTTATTCCTCAGAATTAAACAAGTACTGTACCTGTGCATTCCTTCCTTATTAGTTCATCCTGTCATTAAATTTGATTTTAGTTGTTAGGCTGTGATCCAGCTGCATAATGACCATGCATCCTTAAAGTTCCCAAATTTCATTGATTTTAATGTGTATTTTATAATATATCCTGAACAGACTGCTTTAATACTTCCTGTGTACATTTGTTTAAATTCATAGCTTTCATTTCTTAAAATGGAGGTAGCTTACATTTAATCACTCATGTAAGTAGCATAAATAGCTTGCATAATGTTTTGTTTTAAACTCATAATTTTGAGAACATTTGGACAATTATCTTTTGAATAGTTGTGATGAATTCATAATCAACATTCATTAGGGTCCCAGTAGTAAAGTTTGGTTCATTCTCGACTCTCATTCGAAAATTCTGCGTTTGAATCTCCAGCGGGACAGAAATGATTGGGCACGTTTCCCATCATCTAATGTTCCTGTTACCTTAGGTACCTGGAATTAACCAATTCTAGCAGTTGGTCAGTTGTAGGCTGAAGGAACCTTGATAAACCTATTTATGCTTGACTGATTAAGTACAAATGTTAGATGAACTTGATCAATATGATAAATTTTCTCCCAAGCTGATATTGCATTCGATATTGTAAATGATTGGAACATTAGTACCTGTACCTCTTTGTGTACTTAGTGTCAGTAATGCTTATTCATTATTTGCTATTACTGAATGTTGAATTACATTTAATTACAGCCTTTTGTACGTTGTGAACGAATTACTAGCTGTGTCATGAACATTAAGTCAACATGACCATTCATTTTGTGCAATTGATTTTCAGGTTGGGAATAAGATCCATTATTATTCAGTCCAGATTTATAAATAATAATGAAACCTGCTGACTGTTTGCCAAATAGTAGTGTGAAGTTAGGGTCCAGTAACAGTGCTCTATGTCCATGGTTTACAATCTATGGAGGTTCAATCCCAGAGCAAGACAGAAACAATTGGGCACATTTCCTTTTGCCTAATGCCTCTTTTAGTCTAGTTTTAAAATAGATACCTAGGAATTAGTTCTTGTGGGTTGCATCATGGGGAAGGTCAGTAATTGACCTAGGTGGACCTAAATAAGCCTAAGTACAGTACATGATTTCTGTCCCCCAACAACAGGAATACTATACATATCTTGCATGGTAATACTTTCATTGTACATTTTTTTGTCAGTGAATTTGAGTAGCAAATTTTCTCATAAGGACATCATTATGAAATACACCCTTAGACTGTGTAGTGTTTTTTTCAGTGATGTATGTTAATTTATATTAAATTCTATTGTTTGCTTTATTTTCATTACTGTATCACATATGTCATTTTGCACACTTCCTTTACCTATATCCACCATAATACTGTACTAAATTTTCTTTGAATCTGCCCTTAAATGAAGATCATCTGTTGATATAGTGACAGTCAGGAAAATGATAGGATGGATTATGAGAACGTTCATATCTAGGGATTCCATAACAATGTTAATATTATTTTAGTCACTGGTGCTGTCCCATCTTGAGCACTGCGCACTTCCCTGTTCAGAGCAGAAGACATTTTTGAAAGAGGGAATACAGAAAGCATTTATGGCATGCATAGATATGATAAATTTATTAAATTGCATGATAAAGCACTTAAAATTATTGGAACTGTCTAAAAGCTTTCAAAATGTACTCTCTAGAAAGGAAAAGAGGGGTACCAAATAAATGGTATGTGGGTGCTGGATTCATGGAATATACTGGAAGGGTAGGTCTCAAACTTGCACAGTAGAATAGCAACATACTGGAGCAAAAGATATGGAAGGAAATGTAGAATAGAACCAGTGAGTAGAGGTGCCATAGGCACAATCAGAAAGTACTCTGAACATTAGTGATCCATTAAATACTCACAGCAAGCATTAGAAATATTGTTGGAACAAAGGTGGACTTCTTTCAAGAAGCAATTAGATACGTTCTTGCAAGAAGTGCTGGACCAAGTGGGCTGTAGTGGGTACATGGGCTTACAGGCAACCTGCAAGCAACAGCCTGTTGGATCAAATTATCAAAAGTTGAGCCTGGCCCCAGTCTGGACATGGGGAGTAGAAGAACCTTGAAACCCTATCCAGGTATCCCATTGCATGGTTAGTTTAGCTCTCCTAGTTCTGATCATTCAGCATTGAGCATTCAATGATGCTAAACTGATGTACTAAATTACCTGAACCTAACTGAGGGCCCCATGAATAGAAAAAAGGACATTGTGAGTTTTGCGAACCACTATGATTTTTAATTCATCAGTTTTTGGCCTTGTGGTATTTGCCAAATGTGATGTACTATTTGAGAGGACAGGTTGGATCACTCACTGTTGATGCTTGTTACTTGCAGTTGGACACCACAACCTACCTTGCCAGAAAATTATGAGGGACTTGTCAAGTTTCCATAGGGCGAATGGAATTGAAGTGGCCAGTTTAGTTTCATTTCATCTTTGTATAATTAACACCTAGTAGTTGTGAATAATTAACACCTAGTCGTTATGCCCATTATTAGCAGGAGCCATCTCTGCTCAAAAATAAAATTTGTACACTGAATAGACTCAATTTTTGTAAACATTATTTATAGGTCTCAAAATTAGTTTTTTAATTCACCATGTATGTATAGTGTAGTATAATCAATAATTTGTATAAATAGTTATTAATTTTGTTATTAACATAAACTTTTTTGTTTGTTTCAGACCTCTGGATTTGTACAGCAAATAACTAATACAAGGTCCTGATGAAAATGGGAACTCTTGCCACCTGTTATGATTGTGATAAGTGTATCAGGAATGCTATCAGTCATGTATGAAGTTTAATTCAACATATCAAGGGTATAAGAGAGCTTTAAAAGATAGTCTATATCTTTAAATCCTCTATAAAATGGCAGCAATAAACTTATTGTACAGCTGGTAATTACTCTGCTGTGGTAATTCGTGTACCAGCTGTGCTACACTCTCACCTTGGAGTGAGAGCACAGAGACTATTATTGCCACCTGATTAGTTACAGTAAAGAAAGTGTTAGTGTCACAAGTTAGCATTATATAGTGTTGTCGAGTACATTAACATAGCCATTCAAGATGAATGGGCTTATGGTACGCAAGAAGAAGTACCGCTTCCAGGTGGATGTGCGGGTTGAGGAGCTGCAGCATGTACCCTTCGTTAACCAGGTGCTTTTTGCAAAAGTGCGACTTCTAGATGGAGGCTTCACAGATCACTCCCCAAGGTAGAGTAAATAAATCTTAGATTTAAGTTGTTTTTAATACAGTACAATATTGTATTTTATTCTTAGTACATGTCCTGTCATACAAGTTTTACATTTATTTTTTTATCATGAAGTCTCGGTAATTCGGTACCCATGAGGTTAAGCAGGAGCCGGATTTTAGTCATTGATAATTTTTTCATTCTCCTTTGTAAATGTTATTGAAGTGTCTCAATTGTGAACTCTGTAGATTTATCTAGTACAGTATTATCTTTATGCAAAATTCTTTATTGATATTCTTTATTTGTGAAGAAAGTTATAAACTACTGTATTAAGTGTTTATTCACTGTATTGGACTTTGCTATACAGTAAATTCTTTTTCTTTATTTTTACTTCCAAAAGGCACATTGTAGATGACTGTTTAAGGTAACTACTGTATGTAGAAACATTGAGGCTAAGACTTAAAGCTGTTACCAGATTTAAGACCATTCTACAATGTATGTCCTTTTCCCACTCATCCTTATATTTCAGGTAAACTTAGAATAATGTAAATATTATAGATATTTTAATGACACTAGCATGTGACCAATAAGGTAAGTTATTATGTTCAAATCAGATTGCAGATACAAATATCTTTGCAGGAATGCATAGGGTATTGTATAGGAAGAGTAGATGTTCATCAATAAAAACTCACCAGGATCATTATGTCCATAGCTGCAATACTTGCCAAGATACTAAAGTCCTGTTCTGTGATATAATAATAATAATAATAATAATTTATTCATGAAAAATATGTATTCAAAGGACCTAAGATGGGTATATTTGAAGGTACAAGGGTTGCACATCAAATGAAGCCACACAAACCATTTCAGCCAAAAGTCTGAATAATTAAGAAAAATTATTTTAGGTATACAGTAATGGGTAAACACTTAATACTAAATGAGAAGTAATAAATTAGAAGAGAACATGCGAGATGTTAGAGAAATAACAATGTACAAACATTTGTTGGAAGAAATTGTACAAGAAATGGTGTACAATATAAAGGTGAAGCTTAATGATGACAGGCATTGACTACATTATAGAATCTGTAGTTTTAGCAACAGCACAGAAAGATTTAACACTATTATTCACCTGAATTTACCTGAGGGGCCACTCTCTGGTGGCCTTGATGTGGACAGGAAGCCAGTGGCTTGTCATGTAATTTGTGCTGATGATTTTGTCAAGCAGGATCCTAAAATTCAGTAGTGTTTTGGCATTTATCAGCAGGAAGGTGGTTTCATGGGGTTTATAACCATATGGATGTAAAGCATCTCCTGTTTTCTATCCTACTTTGTGGCTTGTTGGGCTTGAAACTGTTGATCCATGTTTGTGTTACATCAGACCAATTGAAGAAACTGTCTGGATCAACATTCTCCGTATTCTTTTAAGCATTTTAAGTTTCAATGGGATCAGCCCTGTCATGTCTGGTTTGCAGCTCCATGTGGCTCTCAACTGTTCCTGGAATGAGTCGAGACCTAGTTCTGGAATGATTTTTGTTGCCCAGTGTTGAACTTTGGAGAAAGTGGCTACTGCATATCTTTCTGAAGATGGTCTCCATGCTTGGATACAACCAAGCCATGTGGGGGCACACGAGATTAATAGTTGTATTCACCTAATTATATTCACCTAGTTGTGTTTGCGGGGGTTAAGCTTTGCTCTTTCGGCCCGCCTCTCAACTGTCAATTAACCGTTTAGTAACTACTTTTTTTTTCCACGTCACACCCCAGGAAGCAGCCCGTGATAGCTGACTAACTCCCAGGTACCTATTTACTGCTAGGTAACAGGGTCATTCAGGGTGAAAGAAACTTTGCCCATTTGTCTCTGCTTGGTGCGGGAATCGAACCCGTACCACAGAATTAAGAGTCCTGCGCCAGGACTCGTAATTTTGTGGCCCGGGTTCGATTCCTGGACCAGGCAGAAAAAAGTGAACAAAGTTTCTTTCACCCCCTGATGCCCGTTACCTAGCAGTAAATAGGTACCTGGGAGTTAAACAGCTGTTATGGAGCTGCTTCCTGTGTGTGTGTGTGTGTGTGTGTGTGTGTACTCTTTATGCTTGCGGGGGTTGAGGTCTGACTTGGTCCCGCCTCTCAACTGTCAATCAACTGGTGTACAGCTTCCTGAGCCTACTGGGCTCTATCATATCTACACTTGAAACTGTGTATGGAGTCAGTCTCCACCACATCACTGCCTAATGCATTCCACCTGTTAACTACTGTGTGTGTGTGTGTGTGTGTGTGTGTGTGTGTGTGTGTGTGTGTGTGTGTGTGTGTGTGTGTGTGTGTGTGTGTGTGTGTGTGTGTGTGTGTGTGCACAACCACCTGTGTGTGTGTGTGTGTGTACTCACCTAGTTGTACTCACCTAGTTGTGTTTGCGGGGGTTGAGCTCTGGCTCTTTGGTCCCGCCTCTCAACCGTATGTGTGCACAACCACCTGTGTGTGTGTGGGAGGGGGGAGGGAATTAGTTACAGTTGAATGATTGACAGTTGGGCCGAAAGAGCAGAGTTCACCCCTCGCAAGAACAACTAGGTGAATACATCCGGACACTGGCATCTTCTCCTCCCCCATGTTTGTTGCATTATAATTTTGGAGCAGCTGACTGCTAGGGGTCAGATATTAATATGTAATGTAGCATGGTTTGTATGACATAAGGTGGTAGCATTTTCAATAGATTTTGAGATTCTTGTTTGGTTTATTATTTATTCTTGTTTGGTCTATTTTTTCCTTTTGTTTTATTATAATAAAACTGTTACAATATGTGAAACTTGCAGTGACAGTCCTTCCAGCAGTTCCCGTGGTGAAGTGGTAAGACACTCGCCTGGCATTTCGTGAGGGCTTTGGCTTGGGTTCGTATCCTGGCTAGGGAGGATTTACTGGGCGCCAATCGGTAACTGTAGCTTCTGTTTACCCAACAGTAAAATGGGTACCTGGTTGTTAAAAGATTTGGCAGGTCGTATTCCAGGGAAAATTAGTATTAAGACATACCCAAAATGCTATGTGACTGTACAAGAGTGTAAATATATTAATAAATGAATACAAAAAATATGAAAAGTGTGAGCGTTTACTAAGGTTCAGTCAAAATTATTGGTATTGCTTTGATTCGAGTATTGGCACTCTTACGAGTTGTAAATCCACAATCGACTTGAGAATGGTCCAGGACGGACCGAAACGTCGTCGTCCCTTCATCTTCTAGTGTGTGGTCTGTTCAACAAGTTGTAAATCCATCTTTAATACAAGAGAAATCGTGCTCCGATTGTTACATAACCCGCGACTCTTGCGGAGAGCGCAAACTAACCAGTGCATGGTCACTGTTTTGGGCGTGTAGATTAGCAGCATCCGGGGCGGCGCCAGCTGGTGGTGGTTCCCTGAGTCGCCCCAGTCGGTAGAGGATGTGAGAGGTAGGGGGGAGGGCATTGTCTAGCTGGCAACTCTAGCCTTTGCATAGATTCACAGCAAGCATTTAAAGAGCTAATAATAATAAGACTGTGCGTATAACAGAAAAACTATTTGAAGTTTGTGTTCAGTGTTTAGGGTTTTCTTGCATTTTTCTTGCATTCCAGGCCAACGGTTAACCACCATTAAAGGTCGGTCATTGTAGATAAGGCTAGAGATATGGGACCGTAATACTTAAGTCGTCAGTTGCCTAAACTGTTCCAACGTGAGGCAGTTGAAAGACCACATTGACTTGCCTCTTAGTAGTTCCAGATGAAAGGGGAGGAACGGGAATATATGTATGTATGTCACACACTAGTCCTTACATTCTTGTAAAGCCACATAGTATTTCGGGCAGGTTCTAATTTTCCCTGCAATACAATCCGCCAAATCGTTTAACAACTCTGTTCACTCATTCACTGCTGGGTGAACAGAGGCTTACAGTTAAGAATTGGTGCCTAGTCAATCCTACCCGGCCAGGATACGAACTCAGACCAAATCGCTGGCGAAGCGCTGGGGCGAGTGTTACCACTGGGCTACGGGGGACTCAATAATAATGCCATTCAGTACATCCTGTAGCAAATAAGCAGAGATGTTTAAAGCATGCCCTGGACAAATGAAAGAGTAAGATTCACTGGGTGTAAATAGGAGCTGCCTCGATGGGTTAGTCGACCTTGTTCATTTTATTCTTATAATTTTAACTAGCTCTAGTGAGACGTTGCGTGGTTTATGTTGTGCAGTTTTATGACCCTGCCTCAGGATTAACAAGAATTCGCTTGAAAACATATAGCGAAAGTTTATCCCAGCATCACGAATCTTTATTACTGATATATTAAGAACATTAAAGTTACATACTCCTGAAATAGAACAAAGGAAGACATGATTTAAGTCCATATATGGATGATAAGCGTTATGAAAGAGGATGTAATGATGTTGAAACCATCAACTCCACGTCAGCTAAGGATTCTAAGTGGACAACTTTTTTTTTCTTTTTTTATAAAGATATAGGTGAACTTTAGAGTTAAAGTAGAGACAACTGCTAAGTAGCGTCGAGCAAATCCCATGGTACTGAGAAGCGCACACGCACACGGCCTATTAATATATAGAATGTAACGCATAGGTAGAATGAATGAATTTGAGTGTCGTTGTAGAATAAGGTCACAAATCATTAATTTAAGTGTAGGGCTCCGACGGCACACTAGATGTCAAGGCCAACATCTTTATTACCTTCTCTTTAAGAGGGACTGCGCCGTTCTCCTGCCCACACATCCCAATAGTCAGTCACTGCCGCATGCTTTTGTGAATTTATCGCATCTACTTTTGATCCGTATCCTAGGGCTTCACGTCTCTAGCGATCTTTTGCGCGTTCACCAGTACGGGATGTGTGTTTTACCACTTTGTAGCTATATGAATACAGTATCGGCTATCTAAGCTCTATTTAACACGTGCAGTATTTACCCCCCCCCCCTTCCCGCCCTTCTCGCCCTACTTCAGTCTTTTCCCTATTACCCTCCCTCACACCTGCTGAAATGAAGGTGACGACCTTGACATTTTAAT